AAGATAATTATATGCTTATCTCCTGTACTCTAAAGCGAAAATTCCGGGTGACCCCGCAGGATGGAAAACAGGAAAACAAATACGAATGTCTTCTTTGATGAGAGTTAATCATTCGAAGACGGAGTAAATAAAAAAAGACGAAGGTTTACCATCCTAGAGAATTTGGGCAAAATTGCCCCCCGTTGCGATATAATTCAGGTGTTTCCTGTGTTTGTGAACATATTTGAAGTCAATGATGGCTCGTTTCAACATAATATGGAGTCCTATACCTGTTTGAATTGTTTCAAACCTTGTATTAAAACTATAAACACGAAACCAATCAGATTGACTAGTCAGTTCAGGGTTACGCTGCCGGAACTAGCAAAGTTCATAGGTCAAACAACGTTCTCTCTCGCTCAGAGGAAACGCAAGAGATTTTTATGAAAACTTTGACAACATAAAGGTACCTGATCTGGTGATGGTTTTATAGACAGGACAGTCATAGACGCCAGATTCCTTCTTTTGTCGATTCTGCCGCGGAATGAGCCAAATGACAGACATGACTGTATATAACTCCTTCGGTCGGGACTCTGCAAGAATCATTTCCAGCGGATCCCAGCGCGCGCCTTCCAGATAGAGACCACGGATGTAGCAACCGTCTTCAGGCACTTGTTGTATCTCCCCGACATTCTCTTTCATGACCTACGTGGCATGGTTGAAGGGGTTGAAGGGAAATAAGAAATTTACTCGGGCTAGAATTAATGGAAAAGGTGACATATTAATTAACTCGGAATATTGCATTCCTACCCCTAACGCTTCTAGGCTATACAAAAAACTGGCTCAGGTGTAATCACACATGAAAAAAAAACTGAAAGTCTTATCGGCAAAGCTCTGATGTGCAAGTCCACTGAGAAAATAGGACACCGGAACTCCTATAAAACGGGAAGGGGGATAATACTAGTTTTATCAGTATGGCAGATGAGCGACGCAATTAACGGAGTTAGTAGAAGGCACTGAGACCACTCACATTTATAGCACAAGTTTGTTTTAGTACTCCAATGAGTTGCCGAAAAGGACGCGCAATATGAAATGTGCAGAGTAGGGGCGTGTAAACAGGCGGAAAAGAGGAAATCTCAAGGTCGTTGGTTAAGTAAGATTGGAATGGGTAGTGCGGTCTGCAGCAGGTAAACGTAAAGCCAACCCTAACCTTTTCCTGACACGAATATTTAAATCAAGCCTAACCTTGAGTTCTCAGCCAGAAACGAGATTGTAATATAGCATGTCTATCTTAATCAAATAAGCAGGCATGTTATGGTAATAAAAACTGAGGGCCTACAGATTAGATCTTCGCCATCCTATCTCTTACGTAGCTTACGTCTCAAAAATCACACCGAGTATGCGAAAGAATAAGTTACAGTTTCAGTTAATCACTGCTTCTCAGATTAATTAATAAAACAACTATGCATCCACAGTACATCGGGTATAAGAAGTCACTTTCCAAGGATGGAGTTGACACCGGAAGGAAACTATTCAAGTACAGCAAAGGCTCACGCCAATGTAATAAAAACTAAAGTGAAAATATCTGGGGTACTTTGCATACCTTCCACAACCTTCGTGC